CGGTATTCTCAGGACTTGATACCGTTTTTTCGATATCAGGCTCAACATAATTATCTGGAGCATTCTCACTATGAACCACTTGGTTCGAGGGTTCATAGATTTTCCCCTTTCCTTTTCTAAGAACAACGTCATTTGATCCAATGGGTCTACTCCGTTTTTTTCATGGGGGATCATCATTCATTTTCGCATGTTCTTCAGGAACAGCGATCCTAGCTGGAACATCCACAGCTGGAATATAAGACTTTGTGACTTTACTCAATGCATCAGGAAGTCTATTGGCAATATTTTGTAAATGAATTATTTTATGGATCTCATTTTCACATTCAGAGGTATGTGGGTCTACATGAGATAAATGTTGCTCACACCATGTGAGATTCTTGATTGGTTTTTGTTTATCATTATCGCGGATATTCTGAATATCCTTACCAATCGGTATAAATTATGTCTCATGAAAGTGACAATCCGAAAATCTAGCGGTATATAAATCACTCATCATTGGTTCCAAGAACCTAATTATTGACGGTGAATCAAACTCAACGTTTATGCCAAGTCAACATTGGGGACCAATTTTAGTCCTCTAAGGATGAGGAATTGACACTTGCATAGCACAACCAAATGTGCGTAAGTGCGAAATATCTGGCTCGAAGCCCAATGCCAATTACATTGGGGGGAATGCATATGATAAGCAGTTGGGCGCAATCTAATCAGTGTTGATGCATGCAATACTGCATGGCCCATGTTGCGCTAGTGAGTTTAGATCTCATTAGCAAAGTACGGGGAATTATTTGAACGCGTTTAATCAATGATACCGCCAATCCATTTTCAGTGTGAATGTGTGCTACTGAGGGCTCGACATTTATTCCCAGTGTTGCACAATAATTTGTACTAGCAAACGCGCAAATGCCACATTTCGCGTAGTACCATTAGGCAACATAATTGTTGCTATCCCGAAGCCATTTATTATCTCCACGGATATGATTTTAATTTGTGTCTTGCACAATATCATACTCAAAAAATATATTGTATTATTGAATATTGAGTGTGATGTTGCTCTATCGAGTATGCAATAGTCATATGTGTCCATGTTTTTCATGTACGAGCGATCAAAATCAACTCGACCTCGGGTATCTATCCTCCATATGTACATTTGGATGTATTCAAAACGACTCAATCTTGGGAATCGCACCTTCCAAGAGAGATTATACATGGATACACTCAAAATAGCTCAATCTCGGGAATTGCACCTTCCGAGTGATATATATATACAGTGGGTACAAAATAACCCCAGAAAGTGCGTTAAGTTCAGGCTTGCTGTTAATAGCCTCTAAATTGGCACTTGACGGGTCTTACCACGTCTTATAATGACTCTACGGGCTCCAGACTCGGAGTTTTGTTTAGATACTTTGCCTTTAAATCCGCTTTTGACATATATTACCACGTCTTTACTCAACGAGCCTCAGGCTGAGAGTTATTACTTAGCCTCTAAATCAACCTTCTTGTCTCAAGGAGTTTAGACTCGGATCTATATTAAATATTTAGCCTCTAAATCGGCTTTCTTATCTCAACGAGCTTAAGCTCGGAGCTATATTAATGATTTAGCCTCTAAATCGACCTTCTTATCTCAAAGAGTTTAGACTCGGAGTTATATTAAAGATTTAGCCTCTAAATCAGCTTTCTTGTCTCAACGAGTTTAGACTCGGATCTATATTAATGATTTAACCTCTAAATCAGCCTTCTTGTCTCAACGAGCTTAGACTCAGGGTTATATTAAAGATTTAGCCTCTAAATCGGCTTTATTGTCTCAACGAGCTTAGGCTCGGAGCTATATTAATGATTTAGCCTCTAAATCGGCTTTGTCTCAACGAGCTTGGACTCAGAGCTATATTAATGATTTAGCCTCTAAATCGGCTTCTTGTCTTAATGAGCTTAGGCTCGGAGCTATATTAATGATTTAGCCTCTAAATCGACTTTCTTGTCTCAACGAGTTTAGACTTGGAGTTATATTAAAAATTTAGCATCTAAATCGGCTTTCTTGTCTCAACGAGCTTCATGCTCGGAGCTATATTTCATTTACTTGACAGGAATTCCAACGTCTTGATTCAACGAGTTTTAGGCTCGGAGTTATATGATCAATTTAGCCTCTAAATGGGCTTTCTTGTCTAAACGAGTTTTGACTCGGAGTAATATTAACGATTTAGCCTCTAAATTATCTTTCTTGTTTCAACGAGTTTAGACTCGGAGTTAATGTAACAATTTAGCCTCTATATAGGTTTCTTGTCTCAACTAGCTTAGGCTCGGAGCTATATTTCATTTACTTTACGAAATTTCACGTCTTGAATAAATGAGTTTTTCGGCTCGCAGTCATAGTATGACCTCTATACGGTCTTTGTTAAGATCTACGGGTACTATGCCCGGAGTTAATACGATAGCCTCTAAATCGACTTTCAGCGGAGATTATTATTTCTCTAACTCCACGAGCGTCAAGCTTGGAGATAATCTCATAGTCTCTAAATCGACCTTCAACTGAGATTATTATATATTTTACTCGACGAGCATCATGCTCGGAGTTAATATATTGGCATCTAAGTTGGTCCACTGATCTGTTAAACGTAGCACGTACTTATAGCACTGTTTGAGATTCACAAGCTTGCAAATATAAATTTCAGCAGCCATTCAACAAATATATGAGCTATATATGTAAATACACGAATCCATCATATCCTTCGAGTAATAATAGCGTATAAAATACCGAAGTATTCGCTCATCATTCTCGTTTGGCTTTTCGACAGTAATATTGAGGATCTGGATTTTCATAAAATAAAATTGAAAGAAAAATACTAAATAGCAAACCCTTTATCGAGCAAAACCTCGTGCTGATAACGTGTTATAGAATATATTATATGAAATATCTTATATAGCAATTATACTAAGGAATGGAACTGTGTGCGTAATGTGAAGATGAATATTGAAGCTTGTTACAATGAGAAAGAAAAAGAAGATAATTGACCGCATAAATTGCTTTGTATTCTCATTATCCAAATGTGATATTTATACACATTATTTACAAGCATAGTCATCCTCGTCCAAAATAGAGTTAAAGTCATGCATTAACACGTGTGATGAGGTAAGTATACTCAATATAGCCATCAAGATATATTTCAATATATATCTATTATAATAAGGAGGGTTTTTTTTTTGTCGACACACTATTAATTTAGTTTAATTTATATTAATTTTATTCGTCAAGGGACCTAGACCTATATTAATTTAATAGAATGGATTTCCACTTATATAAGTCCAGAATTAGGGGGTGTCTTGCAAATTTCCTTTTTTTTAGAGAATGTTGAATGTGGGTCTTAAGTAGGTGGCATGTGGACCCTATTGTTTAAGAAGTGTTTTTGGGGAATGATACTAGAGATCAAGGTTGTAAAAAACGGTAATCGGGTCCGAGTCGGTCAGGCACCGACTCACGATTAATCGGTGCGGCGGTGATTAATCGGTGATAAATCGGAAATAAATCGGTTTTTAAAATTTAATATAATATATTTCTAAATATTATTTATAAATACTACAAACATATATAAAAAGATATTTAAACATAGTTATATCTCCATCATGTATATATCCTAATAACATAATAAAAATTTAATAATTATAAGATCATAATACATAAATATCCTTATAAAATATAAAAAAAAAACATTTTTTTTTTAATTTACATTTATTCTTGAACATTCGTGGCATACATCATTAGTTCTTTAACACTAACAATTAACATAAACAAAATAAGGCACAAACTCATATTTTCTTTTATTAAAATCCAACTTTTATTTTGAATTATAAAAAGAAAAAAAAAACCGATTTTAACCGATTTTTGACCGATTTTTGCCACCGAGTTTGACCCGCCTTAAAGGTTTGACCGCCTCGGACCGCCTCACAGGCAAAGAACCGATTTTTCAAACCTTTACACTAAAATCGTAAATGTTTTGGACCGCCTCCGCCTCGAAGACCGATTAATCGGCCGCCTCGGCTGATTTTTAGAACACTGCTAGAGATGCTCTAAGAATTGGTAGATTATGGGTCGGCTCTAGGACTTCCATAAGAATTTACACCTCGTAACGGCATGATTATCGCTTCTTGTGGTGAAATTTTTTATGTCAAAAAATTTACAAATATAGAATCCCATTATTTGGTACGCCCACACACCATGAGGATTCTATCACCATTTCAACGCTTTAGAAGCCTTGGTAATCTTTTAACTTATACTTCTGAGGTTTAAGTGTTGATTTGATTTGATTTAAGTATCACATAATGCTCTGTTGATTTGTTTTTTTTTTTTTTTTTTTTTTTATTGGCAATGTACCAAAGTCATTATGGCTTCTGGGACTTGATGAGTTTTAATCTTGAACTATTAGCAAATGAATTACGGCGGCTTATTACACAGCCGGAGCTCCCTTTCTTGAAGATACTCAAAGCTCGTTACCATCCTCATGGAGAAGTTTCGACGGTGGGAGAAGGAACGAGGTTGTCGGCTACATGGAAAAGCATTATTACGGCGCGTCCTTATCCGCAAAGTGGCGTTTGAATGCGAATCGAAGATGGAACAACTAGTGCTATTTGGGGCGATCCATGGCTTGTGGATAGTGGGGCTTTCCGATTTTTTACAAGGCGATCATTTTATTATTCGGCGTATCCAAATATAGTACGTAGTGGATCTAATTAATCCCGAGCATTGACCCATTGACATGGAAATGATTCTTTCAGTCCCAATCGGAAGTATATTCGCTACAAATAGAGTGGTTTGGCATTACACAAACAATGGTCCTATCATGCTATTTTAGAGACAAGAATTCAAAGTGGGGGCAGCGAAGGGAAAGAAAGAAGCACAAATACAAGTGGAGCGGTTTCGAGTCTCTAATAACTACCCAAGATCCGTATGTTCCTTTGGCAAGCATGTTCAAACATTCTCCTCACGACACATTAACTCACAGATGCAACATATGAGATATTGTTTTCGTTGAGTCCTTATTATTGAAAAACAAGAGAACATGTTTCTATTTTAGTTCTGCAGTCAATGTCACAAATAAAGTCACATGAAAATGAAAGCAATCAATCGATCAGCCAAAAATAACATCATGCAGCTTTCAACTGTTTCTATTCCCTGAAAAAGAGAAGACCTACTAAAGCTAAAATATAAAATGAAAACAGAACTTTTCTTTTAGCAAAACTGCCCCCCAGGCTGGCTACTCATTCTTGAGGGCACGTTGTCAGGAAAGAGATATTGAAATGCTCAAACGGGCCTATAGTTCGTCCTGCACAATAATTCGAATAAAACAATTGAGGGGAGAGCCAATGTCGAGAATGAATGAATGAACTAATAAGGAATGAAAAAAAGATGTTACATGTGCATCTTCATCGACTGAGGCGGCAGGGTCTTCTGCAACATCATCGTCAGATGCATCACCTTCTGCAGCGTCATCAGACTCGTCTTTTTCATCCTCAGCCTGCGGAAAAAAAAATACAGGTCAGAATATTCTTTACACAGCTTTAAGCAGCATAATTAGGGAAAGAACAAAAAGAAGAATCAAAAAGGAATTTTAGAGCTTACGTCAGAATCAACTGGTTCATCCTTTGTTTCCTGAAAAAAAAAGGAATTTTTAAGTAAACCGTTAAGCAGCAGTAGAGTTCATATAGCAAACTGTGTTCAATGTTCTTAAAAGAAGACATGCACAGTGAAACAAAATGATCGTTCAATGATACCTCCTCTTCTCTCTTCTTTTCTGCCTCGTCGAATGCAGCTTTCTCGGCCTGTATTATTATCAGATACCAGTGAGCACTTTTAACATTGCAATCTCGAAAAATGTTGGCAGGGAAAAGTTTGAAAGGGTAAGAAAATCCAGAACAAATGAACATACATCCTTTTGTTTGCCCCATGTTTCTTCAGCTAGCTTCTTAGCATAATCAGGGTCGTCAGCTATCAAGACATTGTCAAACAAGGTTCCAGATTTGACCTGCAACGTTGTACAATTGTCGAGTTAAAAGAAGTGATATAACATTAAGATCAACGGTAAAAAATGGAAGGAAGAAAAAGAAACAGAAATTTCTAACCTGCCATAATTCAATTCCTACGTACTTCAACTTTGGGAAAACATAGATATCGGGGTCATCCTTGAAGTCTGCAATTGGGTCAATATCGAGTTAGCCATGCTTGAAACTCTGTGGCAGAATTGTGATTAACTCAAATATATACGCGCATGAGATGTGAAGTACCTGGGTTATCAATCATTGGTGCCGTCCACTTGCCCTTGAAGTTGGGGTTTTTAATTTTCTGTTAACAAAACAACGCATAATTAGTTATAAGGAGTTAGTTCAATTAACAGTATCAAATACAAGAAAACTGAAAATCGACAAACCTTTGCCTTCCACGGACCCTTGTACTCAGGGTTGGGAATAGTAGGAGCAGTCCACTCACCATCCTCCTCATCATCCCAATCCTCAGGCTACAATACCAAATATTTTCAAATAAAAAATTAGTTAACGGCTTCCAATGCATTATTAATTGTAGAAACGGACACTGGAAAATGTTATTCAGTTACCTTTTTGGCATCAACATCAGGAATCTCCTTAGGGATGTCATCATAACCCTGTTTACAATTATTTTTTTTGAATTAATTAATCAAAAATCAAGATGATGAGTTATTACAGCAGAAAATGTTGAAGGTCAATTTACCGCTGGCTTCTTGTCCTCGGGATCAGCAATGAATTCCTTATCATCCCAATCTTCAGGCTGCCATTAAGATGCACAAAGGACAATGTGATGAATCTTGATTAATAAATATGTATTTTGAAACGAATTTAATGTATTACTGAAAAAAAAGAAAATATACCTTTTTGGCCTCAGGGTCTTTGATCTGCTTAGGAGGGAGAATATCCCAGTCAGAGTACAAGCTGCCAGTTTGCTTCTCCTCGTTGTCAATAAGAATGCTGTAAGTAGCATCGGGGCGTAGGATGAAAGTATAGACATGACTCAATTGGTCGGTCTCGCATGGAACTTCCTTCTTGATCAAGTGGTTTACCTCATTGTGGGTAAGAATAGCATGGACCTTTTTCGTGGTGTAGCCACAGATATCTGGTCCAAACATGATACTGCAGCCAATATAAATACAATAAAACCAATCAGCATTTTCAAAGATTATATAAGAAGAAAAAAAGAGGAAATCTAGGGCGAGGAGGAATCTGTGATAAAATTACCTGTATGGTGTGTCACCGCCAAACTTTTTCTGGTCAACGTCACCACTGAGTAACTTCATGTAACCACCACCGCAGTCAAGCTTCTGCTCATGCTTGACGGAGAACTGGAAAACTAAGGTCTTCTCTTTGTTGCTCAATTCAGGGAATTCAGCTGAGATGGCATAGAACCTGTAGTCTTCACTAGTCTGGATACCTGCACAGTAAGGTAAGATGAATATTATATATACAATTTCTAAAGAAGTATTAATTTACTCTGAATCAGCAAATGATGTAATTACCTTTGTCGTTAGAGTCTCCATTCCATTTGCCAGAGGTGTAATTCCACTCTCCAGCCATTTTCTCGTCTTTCTTCCAGTCCGATTTCACCCACCGACTCTCCCATCCATCTTTAGAGTTTGCAAAGTAACAAATTATCAGTACAAAACCATCAATGGAAACGAGAATTACATAAAATAAAGTAAAATAACTCAGCTGTCATTATTTATTATCTTGAGACAATTATATTTACATCTACACTGCAAGAATTATCAAATAGGAAGAGCTCTTTGTATCAATATTTTCCACTCCTCACCTCCAATCATTATCAAATTTCAAAAAACAGCTAACCTCATTTAAAACAAAAAATTTCAGCCTTCATAAGCATGTACATTTCTGCAAATGCAAGCATTCTTAATATTTCTACATCATACGGATCATTATTTTCTGTCATTCAAATTTGATTGATCTGGACTACATTGCATAAAGGGTTCATAAAACCAGCTGTCTCTATATGAATCATGTGTAACTGATACAATGATGATGACAAATTGAAATTGGGCTCACATTATAAAATTGATGCTAATCTCGTATCGGATTAAATCAGAAATTTCATGATCAAAACAAATTGCTCTCAGATCTGAGATCTGTTTTCATTGATATCAGTTCGACCAAAATTAAATCAAGGTGACATTTCTTCCATCACCAACACTCAGATCGAGATAAAACACAATCCAAACACCAATCATTCAAAACAAATAATGAAATCCATCGACGACCACAGAAAAAAAAAATCCATGTAGAAACGATCTAATCAAACAAAGAGAAATGAAAAACCGTACCATCAAAACGCTCCTCGAAGAACACTTTGGCAGATGATATCACAAGGAGGAGAGAGAGAGCAATGGCTAGAGAGAGAAAATTAGGGTTCATGATCTGCAACCTTCTCTGCGCAATCGCCATGACTGCTGGGTTTTTTTTTTTCTTTTGATAATTAGGAGTGAGGATGCCAGGGTCAGTGTGAGAGAGGGGTTTATATATAACGGATAATTTCACTTGGGAATTACACTTCAGCTCCGTGTATGACGTGGACAGTCCCGACACGTGGACCAATAGAAAAGTGCAACGTGTACATCGACACTGTCATTGATTTGACGTGGCCGGTCATGATTGGGCAAACACGAAGCGTAGCGTCCGTCCCTATGTGGAACGACGCTTGTACGCCAAACTTAGGCTACTTTTTCAAACTTCAAATGAATCTATTTTATTTGCCTTTTATCATTTATGTGAAATTGAATTAGGGGTGGAAATGAAATTAATGGTGTAGATTACATTGGATATACATTTATTAGCAAGTTTGATTTTTCTTTATTCTTTTTTAAATGACCAACGGCAATTATCTATATCTATATAATATATAAAAGTTGAATTTCACACCTAATTGATTGATATTTGTCAATTTCAATTGATGACATGTATTCAATTTCATCTCATGTGCCAAATTGATTGCTGAAAATAAATCATCAAAAACATGTCACTATTTTTCAAAATTAAAACGATATTTAATTATTTTATTATATATTATCATACTATTTATCAAATGGTCTAAATATATCAACTTTCTTGGAAACTCTAAATCGATTTATTTTTTAATTTAATTTTAATAGTAATTAATTTAATTTAAATTTAGTTAAATTCAATTTAAAATCTCCCCTTATTAAAATTGCATAATTGGTGGTGTTACGGAAATTTTGTATTTTAATTCATAAACTTGGATTTATATAGAAAAAATAATTGCAGAATCAATCATTTGATATTATACATTTTACATGAACATGACCACAGAATATGTTTATTTTTTTTACTAATTTAATATTATATATTAATATTATTTGTATAAAAGAAATACACATGTTCGAATTCACTATATTGCAAAAATTGACACTATTTTTTTTTTTTTTGCATACGTACAGCAATATACTCTCAATTATTTACCATATTGAAAATTATACTATATGAATTTCATGTTATTGTTTTAACTTCTCTTTTTTTTTTTTCTTTACAGAATCCAGTGACGATAAATTTTATGATTAATTTAATTTTTTCAATTATATACTAATAAAAATACAAACTTTCTCATGATTATACTAATAAATTGATTTACATAAGTAAGTTTAATCAATTGTTAAAAAAAATTGATTTTATATATTTCAAAATATAACAATGCTATTGTAATCTTTGGGATCAAATTCATTTATTCACTTTATTTGATAATAAATATTAAGAATATCAATTGTTATGTTTAAAATGTATACATGTCGTATATACTATATATATATCGTATTCCACTAATAAGTATTTATCTATAACTATGATGAATATAACTAAATACATATCTAGATCAACTCCAACTCAAAAGTGTCAAAATGAGTTTGCAAATATTTATGTGATATTTAATATTTTATTTTGATATTTATCTAAATTTATTTGCTCCAACCTTGGTACTAAATAGTTGTTAATTAAAAATCATTAAAACAATTTATATATTTAATTGCCACATATCATTTTCTAAATGGACACTGAGATGGTTAAATTTGTAACTCAAGTTTGATATTTTATTCAGGATAATGTATTTTAAATTTTTACATTCCGAAAAATGAAATATTAAAATACAACCCTTATTTGATAACTCTATTGGAATTAAAAATTATTCTTTTTTAGTATGAAAATGGTGGTTAAAGGTTTTGATAGCACATTTAATAACCTCACTTGAGGTGCTCTTACTTTAAAATAGTTTACATTAACAAATACAATATCCATCGGCAAATCAGTAGTTTCTACGATCCATTTTTAGCTACAAACCCAATAAGATATTTATATATTACAATAATAGACTAAAATTATATGAGAAGTAATTGCATAATTATGTGTGTGTCTTTGCAGATTGAGAAAGTTTGATGCAATATTGTGGCTATGAATGGTAAAGTTATTAAATATCAAGTATCATTATATACCACCAAAATATTATCTAACAAATACCAATTTAGTGGTTATTATTTCATTTGGCACGATATTGGTACCATATCGAACTTATACGAGATTTTTCTACAATCCATTATGGTGTGGGTAAAACTATAGACAACCTATCATGGAAAAAAATTATGTTTAGCTACAAATATTCTGATTAATTTTTAAAATTAAAATGTTAAACCATATGAAAATAAAAATATTAATGTGGGGTATTATAGCGTAAATATTTATTATTTAATATTTTAACATTGTATATATATCTCACTATATTATCGTATTAGAATACATGAGTTCTTTTGTCTAACTTACAAGTTATGTATCTAAATTTGTGAAATATTCTTAAGTTTTCTATTTCCCCATCATATATAATTAAATATATTTATTTTGTTAATTTTTATTTTTAAAATATTTGTAAAATAAAATTATTAATTTATAATGTTTATAAGAATCTAATATCGATTCTATATCTCTACGTTTTTTTTTGAAATCACAATATATTCGACTGATTTAGACAAAAAAACAATTAATTTTTATTTTTCCATTTATTCTTTATAGAAACATTTTATAGTGACTTTTGTTCACTTGAAATTTGACCTATTTTCATTAGCATCAACATTTATGTTAGTTTCTAACATATGGTCATAAGTGAAAATCAATTTAAGTTGTATATTAACAAGGATAAATTACGAAAAACCGTTGAACTTAGGCTAATTTAAGAAAAACACCCTCACATATTCGTAATTACTAAAATTCACCTGATGTTTGTTTCCGTATTACATCGACCCCCTTGTGGTAAGATTTTCACGGAATTTCTTTTATTACTTGGAATATTCCCCGAAAAATGCAGATTTTTTCCTGCACACGCGACATTTCTTTATGGTAATTTTTAAAGACAAAAATTACCTTCAAGGGGACTTTACACGTAATCTTTATTCTTTATGTTCTCAAGTTACCATATGTTCTTTATGATTATTATTAATATTAGTATTAGAACTATAATTATGATCATGATAATGATTAGTACTACAATTAGTGACATGTATTAGTATTAGAAAACTTGATTAGCATTATTATGATTATGATTATAATTAAGATTAGAATTAAAATTAAAATTAACATTAGCATTAGCATTATTGCATTAAAATTATTAGGGTTATGATTAGAATTATGATTAGGATTAGAATTAAGATTAGGGTTATGAGTATGCTTAGGAATAGTATAAGGATTTGGATAATATTAGCATTACAATTATAATTAACACTAGCGTAATGATTAACGTAGCCAGATTAACATTAGCATTAAAATTAGTATTAGCATTAGTACAAGTACATTAGCATTAACATTAACAATATTAACATATTAGTATTAGTAATAGTATTTATATTAGTATTAGTATTAGTATTAGTATTAGTATTAGTATTAGTATTAGTATTAGTATTAGTATTAGTGTTAGTGTCAGTGTCAGTGTGAGTGTTAGTGTTGGTGTTGGTGTTGGTGTTAGTGTTAGTGTTAGTGTTAGTGTTAGTGTTAGTGTTAGTGTTAGTGTTAGTGTTAGTGTTAGTATTAGTATTAGTAATAGTATTATATTAGTATTAGTATTAGTACTTAGTATTAGTATTAGTATTAATATTAGTATTAATATTAATATAAGTATTAGTATCATTATCAGTATTAAATTCAGTATCAGTATCAGTATCAATTTTAGTACCAATATTAATATAAGTATCGGTATCAGTATCACTTTCACTATCATTATCAGTATCAGTATCAATATCATTATTAGTCTCAGTATCAGTATTAATCTTAGTATCAGTATGAGTATCATTATGAATATTAGAATTAATATAAGTATAAGTATAAGTATCAGTATCAATATCAGTATTAGTATCAATATAAGTATAAGTATCAATATCAGTATCAATATCAATATCATTATTAGTATCAGTATCAGTATCATTATCAGTATCACTATAAGTATTAGAATTAGTATTTAGTATTAGTATTAGTATTAGTATTGGTATTAGTATTAGTATTAGTATTAGTATTAGTATTAGTATGAGTATGAGTATTAGTATTAGTATTAGTACTAATATTAATATTAGTATTAGTATTAATATTAGTATTAGTATTAGTATTAGTATTAATATAAGTATAAGTATCAGTATCAGTATTAGTATTAGTATTAGTATTAGTATTAGTATTAGTATTAGTATTAGTATTAGTATTAGTATTAGTATTAGTATTAGAATTAGTATTAGTATTAGTATTAGTATTAGTATTAGTATTAGTATTAATATTAGTATTAGAATTAGAATTAGTTTTAGTATTAGTATTAATAATATTAGTATTAGTATTAGGGCTCGTTTGGTTACTGTTATTACCCCCTACTAGACTAAATAGTAGGGGGTAATAGCATGTTCGGTTGACAAGATTCGCACCAGGGGAAGCCCGCTATAAAAACATGAGCCCGCTACAAAACCCTATTAATTCTCAAAATCTAATCGGTGCTCCACCCCTGCGATTAAAATCGTAGATGCCTACTAATAATGAAAATTACACTATTACCCTAGAATAAAGTTACGTATATTCACTCTATTCTATTAAATCTTGGAAGAAACAAAATTCTAACCCACTTTTTATGTTCACCTCATTAATCAAAGCAAGAAAAGTCTTGAAGAGAAGAAAGGCTGCAGGCCATTTTGATTGGTAATTTCTTGAAATTTATTTTATTGACTTCAGATTTTTTTTGTTTTTGTTCATAGGTAGCAATGATTTGGTGAGTTTGCATAATTTTTTTTGTGTTTCCTGCTTTGTTGAGGCAGGATATGTATTTTGTTGTTGATTTTTTTTAATTTATATTCTTCTCTGTTTTTTTTAATTGAAGAATATATCGTTTTTAGTTATATTTCTTTACTTCTAATAATCATTATTTGTGGTTTTCATGCTTTCGACATTTTTTTTTCTCAGCCTATTTATTTGCTTACTCATGTACAACTTAGTCGAAACAATGGATATGCGTACCAAAGTGCAAATCATGGTCGTTCTACACCAATATCTCTTTCGCACGACTATTCTTTTGTTCTTTTTTTTGCTATTCGTAATAATACTTACAGACAATCGGGTTGTAAATAACACAAATAAGAAACGAAGGAGACAGTCTTGTTGACAAAATACCTGATCAATTAAATGCTTTGAGTCAATTGGTGTTTACCAATAACCAGCATTGCATTGATCAAACAAGAATGGATATTAATGCATTCTTGAAGTTGTGTTACCTCTTGGAACACGTTGGTGGCCTCCAACATTCCAAATATGTGACTGTACATGAATAAGTTGCTATGTTTCTTCAAGTTCTTGCCCATCATAAAAAAATACGAATAGTTGCCTATGACTTCAAAAGGTCTGGTGATACTGTTAGCAAGTGCTTCAACAGAGTGCTTGAAGTGGTACTTAAATTGCATCAGATTTTATTTGTTTCCCCTCAACCGATTGGTGATGCTGAGACAAATGAGAATTGGAAGCATTTTAAGGTAAAAGAACCTTAATTCTGCTCTATATTTTAGATGATTACTTCACATTAAAAAAAGAAACATATACTTTGTTTATGTCTGGATATTGGTGGTTTAACATTTTTTTTTATATTCCTCATAGGGTTGTTTGGGCGCTTTGGATGGAACCTTTATACAAGTGAGAGTACCACTCACCGAAAAACCTAGGTATAGATCGAGAAAAGGAGAAATTGCAGTTAATGTTTTAGGTGTATGCGATAGAAACTCCAACTTCATTTATATATTATCTGGATGGGAGGGCTCTGCCGCAGATAGTCGCATTCTTCGTGATACCGTGATGCGGCCTAATGGCTTTAAAGTGCCAATAGGTATTACTCATTTTAAGTTCCTAAGAATCTACAATCAATTTTGCAGATACACTATTAAAAAATATGCAAAGTAAAATATTAAATCTTATTTAATTATTCTTATTTTTTTATGCAGGTAATTATTACTTATGTGATGGCGGCTATATGAACACAACTGAATTCTTAACACCATATAGGGGTAAGAGGTATCATTTAAAAGAATGGAGTGAGGGTAGATCAGCACCTCAAAATCCTGAAGAATATTTCAATATGAAACATAGCAGGGCACGAAATGTAATAGAAAAATCTTTTGGATTGCTAAAAACTCGATGGGCTGCCTTACGAAGCAATACTTTCTATCCCATCAAAGTCCAAAATCGTATCATCATGGCTTGTGCGCTCGTGCATAATTTTATCAGAACAAATATGGAGTATGATCCCTGGGAATTGCAAATCGGTGATATCTTCCATGGAAGCGACGACGACTTCATTTCAAGTCTTGATCCTTCTGGATCTTGGACCGATTGGTGTGATAATTTAGCACGTGATATGTTCTCTCAGTACAGGCGTCGCCGCTAGAATGATTATATGGTGTTGGATAAAAAGTGCCTCATAATGAGCACTGTAATCTATTTTAAAATATTTTTTTGCACTAGTTACTAGTGGTGTTTCTAATATAAGACAATGATAACATCTTGATTATTATTTATTTTTTGGTATTTGTTTATTTACCCTGTTATATAGTTAAGTGCATAAATTGGTTGCTATATGTGGTGTATGAATATTTTGGTCTTCAAATAATTATAATTTATTGTTTATTTTTCTTTAATTCAGACATGGAGGCAACAATGACAACTAGAGATGAACATCAAAAGGTCGCATTGTTCGTAGACATGACTCGTGAAGAAGAAGACGGGTTGATAGCTGAGTTGAAGTAGTTGGTGGCTAGAGGTATGAAAGCCGATAACTCTTTCAAAGGCGGATACTTGACTATGCTAGAGCCTGCGTTAGCTCAACGTTTTCCGATGGCGTGCATTCGTGGAGAACCCCATATCCAATCAAAGTTGCAGACATGGAAGAAGACTTATGGGTTTATTTATGGTATGCTGGAAACTAGTGGCTTTGGATTCAATGAAGAGACTATGATGGTTGTTTGCGAAGATGACGTTTGGGATAAATACGTCCAGATGATGTCCTTTGCCATCGTAATAAGAACTGTATGTTTGTTTTAAATTGCATAAGAATTGTACATGCTCAAAATCGAGATTAATGACCTTTTATGTTTATTGTGCAGGTGCACCCAGAAGTTAAGAAGATGCGGCACAACTCCTACCCATATTATCCTTCATGGCAAGAGATCTTTGGAAAGTCAAGAGCAACTGGTGCGAATGCACAAGGATTTGTTGATGTTGTGCAGGACTTATTGAACGGGGGGACCACTTCGGGTAGCAACGTAAACCAAGGCAACTCCTCAGTGCCAAAAGATGCAAGCGTGCCTGTTGAAGTTGAAGAATACTCTGACGATAATCTAACCTCACATACGGGGAGCTCTACGAAGGCCAAGACAACTGGGTACAAGAAACGAAAGGTTTCTGAACTTTCTTCTGTAATTCAACCTTTAGTGAATATGATGAGCACATATATTTCAGACTCAAAAGAGGCTCTTGGGGATCTTAGCAAACAAATTGGGGTGGAGCACGATGTTTCTATGGCAAGGAAGAATGTATTTGAGTCACTTGCAGCCATTCCTGGACTCTCAATCGACCATCAGATAGTGGCGGCTAACAAACTTGTAAATTCCACATATAGTATGGATTTATTCTTTAGCATGCCTGATGAGGCCAAGCATAAATTCGCCATGATGTTGCTTGACGATCAGGTTTAGTGATGATTAGAGTTTTTTTTTTTTTTTTTTGGTATAACTTAGGCTAGCTTATGCAATGAACAATTCCATTGTCATTTATTTCATTGAACTCTTTTTTAAGACGTCATTTTTTTGCATTGAACTCGTACTTTTTATTTGTTGGTTATTATATATATATATATATATATATATATTTAAATATCTGAACTTAATTGTTTGATTATTATTGAGAATCAGATAACAGAATTATTCTCTCGTTTATTTTGATCAAGTTTAGAAGTGCAGGCTTAAAAAATTGAGTTCCATGGTTTTGGAAAATTTATAGAGTTTAATATGATGAAGTAAAATATAATTTTTGCTTTTGCTCAGTTACGTTGATGTTATGAAAAAAATAGAAGCTGATGTTATAAATTTTACGAATTATAACAGGATAATTGCTAAGTTGGGGATATTATGGACAAATCACATTTATTACCAGATTTAATTGTAGGTCTAATCCAAGCAACCGATCATCGTACTAATTGACTAATTAATTAGTCAGTAGGGAGTTAATCCAATCCAATCCAATCCATATTAATCCGATCCCGGTAACCGAACGAGCCCTTAGTATTAGTATTAGTATTAGTATTAGTATTAGTATTAGTATTAGTATTAGTATTAGTATTAGTATCAATATGAGTATGAGTATCAATATTAGTATGAGTATCAGTATGAGAATTAATATTAGTATTAGCATTAGTATCCGTATCAGTATGAGTATTAATTTGAGTATCAGTATCAGTATCAGTATGAGTATCAGTATCACTATAAGTATTAGTATCAGTATTAGTCTTAGAGGGTGTTTGGCTAAGCTTATAAGATGTTAAAATGAGCTTATAAGATGTTTTACAGCTTATAAGCTCTTCCAAAGTGTTTGGTAATTTTTTAGAAAAAGATCTTAATTTTTGTTAAAATAAGCTGTTGGAGAGCAAATAAGATCTTTTTAAATAAGTACCTCTACCCCACCTTTTTATTTAAGATCTTATAATGAGTAAAAATAGGAAATAAGCTTATTATCCAAACACTCTAAAAATTAATCCTAAAAATAAGATGTAACAACTTATCAGCTCTAAAAACATCTTATCAGACGTAAGAGCTTATAAGCTGTTTAAAATAAGCTTAGCCAAACACCCTCTTAGTATGAGTATCAGTATTAGTATAAGTATCAATATGAGTATTAGTGTGAGTATCAGTATGAGTATTAGTATTAGTATTAGTATTAGTATTAGTATTAGTATTAGTATTAATATTAATATTACTATGAGTATCAGTATGAGTATTAGTATCAATATCAGTATCAATATTAGTATTAGTATGAGTATCAGTATTATTATTAGTATTAGTATGAGTATCAGTAATCAATATCAGTATCAGTATCAGTATCAATATCAATATCAATATCAATATTAATATTAATATTAATATCAATATTCGTATCAGTAGCAGTATCAGTATTAGTATCACCATTAATTTGAATATGAGTATCAGAATGAGTATAAGTATCAATTTTAGTATGAGTATCACTATTAGTATTAGTATTAATATTACTATGAGTATCAATGTCAATATTAATATTTATATTAGTATCAACATCAGTATCAGTATTAATATCATTATCGTTATCATTATCAGTATCAAAATTAGTATCAGTATCAGTATCAATAAAGTATCAGTATTAGTCTTAGTATCAATATAAGTATCAATATGAGTATTAGTATCAGTATCAGTATCGGTATCAGTATCAGTATCAGTATCGATATTAATATCATTATTAATATCAGTATTGGTATCAATATTGGTATTGGTCTTGGTATCAGCATGAGTATCGATATTAGTATCTGCATTGGTATCAATATTGGTTGGGGCATATACATCTTTATCTCTTTTACAATATTTATAAGTTGTATTGTTGTTTGACTAATGTACATAACTAATTGAAGGTCGTTATAGATAAACTTGCAGGTTATTTGAATATCTCTTGTGTTACTTCTCTGTTACCATGTTTGTTGTTAAGTTAATTATTTTGCAGAAGATTCACATGGCGTAGTAGATTGCGTTCCATGAAATAGAGTTATACCATATCTTTTAAATAATTTAACTTAATCTTCATATCGTGTTTTGTGGGCTTCGTGTTTTCTTCTTTGTAATATTTAATTTAATTTCATATGTTAAAACTCTGAATTAAGAGATAAAGTTCATGTTTTTTTATTTTCTTCCATTTTGTTTTACTTGAATTTGTGTTGTTATAAAGAGACAGTCGTTTATATATTATTATTTTTCTCATTTTAAAACTGACATCCGTTCAACGCACGGGTGAAGTACTAGTAGTATATGTGAATTCCGTAAACTTTGTTTTGGGTTATGGTATTTTGCATTCAAATCACTTGCGATGAGCTCAGTCGAAAAATATTATATCAGGAATTAAACTGTGTTCATTCTTTCACCAAACTCATTTACCGTCAGGGGCGGATCTAGGGGGTGGCCATGTATGCCATGGACCACCCTATATAATGAAAATAAATTTGCCTTAGTGGCAAAGATTAGATGAGGTCATGAGTTCGACTCCAATATGTTACAAAAAATTATTGTTTAATTTTTTTGTCTAAATTTCTTATGAGCCCCTCTCCCATAAACACATTATATTACATCTATATTACTATTTAGTCCACCCAAAATTCAAAATATACAAAAAAAGTCCTAAGTCTTTCCTTTTTTTTTTTTAGCCTCTCTCTAACACATTATATTATATCTATATTATTATTTGGTCCACCCAAAATTCAAAATATACATAAAAAGTCCTAATTTTTTTCTTGTTTTTTTTGCCCCTCTCCCCAAAAACACATTATATTATATCTATATTATTATTTAGTCCACCCAAAATTCAAAATATACAAAAAAAAAGTACCAAATTTTTTCTTCTCCTAATTTATCAAAAAAAAAAAAAAAAGTTTCAATTTTTTTTGCCTTCTCCTAATTTATCCAACAAAAAAAGGTTCAAATTTTTTTTTGGGGGGCGCTGCCCCCGAACCCCCAAAAATTTAACCCCACTATACAGTATATTCTTGGACTCCGCATAGCCGGCATACCCTGAATTTTCGTCCTGGATCCGCCACTGTTTACCGTTATATAACTTTGTCTATTTTTGATTTTATCTTGATTCTATTTTTTAATATGAATTCATTAAAAAATATATGTTGGTATTGTACATATTCCATAAAAAAGAAATACAATTAATAAATGTTTTAGTAGAAGTTTAGTAAAAAAATGTGTAAAAATCATAAATTTATATACTTGCGGTAAACTCCATCCATATCTAATAGTCGCGCACATAAAAGTTTTACGAATAAAAAGTTTTCTTTCACATAAAATGATTTTTATCAAAAATAAATTGACTATGAGCATTCTAAGACGCTTGAATCTTCTTAGTTAAATAATTTTTTTGAACTTTTTTAAGTATAAAATTATTCTACACTGACTTTAATTTATATATTGATACATGTTAGTACTACTAATAATGACAACAACAATAATCACAGTAAATAAATTATAGACATAATAACAAATATTATTATTGTAATTATTGTTTGTTTATGCGTAACTATGGTTAACGATTTACATTATAAATCATTGACAAGCAAGAGTAGAGATTTTAACCCTTAAATCATTTTTTCGTATAGGGAGACGTTAAAAATAATTTACATCGTGTTATTTTACCCATTTTTTGGAAGAAATTATTTTTGTATCAACTATCATGCATTTGATCTTTGAAGTAAACTTTCGAGTTTTACAAAATTATAGTATAACTATTCTTTAGTTTTTCCTCTCTTTTTTCCCTTGTGGGAACAAGTCAAAGGTATTGTTTATTCGATAAGACTGAATTTCAAGTTCGTAGCGAGAAATCCTGGTTTTCAAGGAATAGTAGTGCAAGCGAGTGGCTCGTCGGGGGGTCTTGGTCTTCTTTGAAGAAAGGATATTATGGTGGCATACAAATCTTTTCGTTAAATCACATTTACGTGTACGATGATGATGCGAATACCGCTTGGAGATCTACTAGTTTCTATACATACCCAAACTAGATGCATAAACAAATCGTGCAGTTAAGAAAGCTAGTAAATTTATCAAACAAGTCTTGGTTGCGTGTCGGAAATTCCAATGCTATTATTGCAAGTTCAAAAAAGAGTGGAGGCATACCAATATTGTTTAGTGAATTAGCTTCCCAAGCCAGCATTTTAATGACCATGTGCTTTATCCAATTAGTAATGAAGACTCTAGAGAATCAAGTCTTATTGTCATAAGCAGCCTCACTTCAACACCAAATAGGTGAGTCTATCAAGGATGCACTCGTAATTCAGACATTCCATCAGTTAAGGCTATAGAGCTCATTAACAGATTAAAAAATAAACCTCACCTATCGTACGCGAGCTTTAATGCATGCACATGTTTTAATGCGTGCATCTTCACTTTTAACAAGTTGTCATGCAATTCATATTTTCTCCGACCTAATTCATGGCATCTCCACTCCCTAGACAGTTGTATCCTCATAACCAGCTTGTAATTTTATTTTTGACTTTAATACAATCCATTCGATGCACTTTTAGATATTTTATCAAATGATCTAAAAGAGATTTCATAAATCAATAACTATATAGTCTCACAAATTTAATGGTTTATTAACCATTTCAACTGTACGACACAATATTGTGTTTCCACCATAAAAAAGAAAACAAAAATCATTTTTACTTGGCACTTTGCCACTCAGTCTCATTTATCAATGCGAAAAAATAGGGATTTTTATGCAAAAGTCCCCAACCAAGCATGTTTATTATTCTAGGTTTAGGGGACATATCTCTTTCACCAATAAGCCCATCCCTTTAATATTTATTATAACTAAAGGAAACATTCATGTATATCCCAATATTACCCTCAACAATTTATACCCAATTCTTAATTGTAACCCCAATTAATCAATTTTGTCCATAAAAGTTCAATTTTGACCACAAAAATTCAATTTTGACTTTTTTTTGGAGTATAATTTAATATGCTCCAATTTCATCCTTAACTTAATTTAATCTCAATTTGACCCCAAATTTCACAAATTATTAAATTTTGACCCAAAAATTTTTTTTTTTCAAAAATTTTTTTTTTTTCAAAAACTTTTTTTTTGCCGCCGGATTCCGGCGTTGACCGGCGGTCAACGCCGGTCTCCGGCGTTGACTTTTTAAATTTTTTTTTTTTTTTTTTTTTTTCCTTCCGGAATTTTTTTCCGGATTCCGGCGTTGACCGGCCGGCGGTCAACGCCGGTCTCCGGCGTTGACTTTTTTTTTTTTTTTTTTTTTGGCTTTTTTCTTTTTTTGTTCTTTTCTTTTCTTCCGAATTTTTTCGCCGGTTTCCGGCGGTCTCTTTCTTTAGTGTTTTTTTTTTTTGTTTGGTTTGTTTTGTTTTTCCACGTCCGCCGCTACACGTTGACCGTAATTGTGCTGTCACTGACAATAAATTAACGTAATTATACTGTCAATGATAGTTAATTAACGTAATTGTACTGCCGTTGACATTACATTTATGTAATTGTGCTGCCGTTGACAGTAAATTAATGCAATATTATATTTTTTTTATTTATTATTTTTTTTTTTTTTTTTTGATTTGTTGACAAGTCAACGTAATTATATTACTGTCGTTGACAGTAAAATAACTGTAAACACAATAATATTACTGTCAACAACATCAATATTATTATTTTTTTGGGGTGTTTGTTTTGTTTGAGTTATTCACGGAGTAACGTATTAATATTACTGTCTATTATTGTAATATTACTGTAAACACAATAATATTACTGTGGTTGACGGTAATATTACTGTTGTTATAGTAATATTCCTGTCAACCACATCAATATTATTATTTTGTTTGGATTTTTTGTTTGTTTGAGTTATTCACGGAGTAACGTAATAATATTACTGTCTACTATTGTAATATTACTGTTGCTATAGTAATATTACTGTCACTCACAGTAATAGTAATTCTTTTGGTTTTTTTTATTTTGTTTACATTTGTTGAACGGACAACATAGTAATATTACTTTATTATACAATGATAATGAATTTTGTTGTGTTAATATTAATGTGCTAGAGATTAATATAGCAATATCACTGTGTTAAACTATAGTTTAGTTAATTTTACTGTGTTTAACAGTAATATAGTTAATATTACTGTCATTCACAGCAATATTGCTGTTTAAACGGAAAAAAAAGTTACAGGAAAAAAAAAAAAAAAAAAAAAAAAAAAAAAATTAAAAAGTCAACGCCGGAGACCGGCGTTGACCGCCGGTCAACGCCGGAATCCGGAAAAAAAATCCGGAAGAAAAAAAAAAAATAAATAAAAAATAAAAAAAAAATAAAAAGTCAACGCCGGAATCCGGCGGAAAAAAAAGTTTTTGAAAAAAAAAATTTTGTGAAAAAAAAAAGTTTTGGGTCAAAATTGAATAATTTGTGAAAGTTGGGGTCAAATTGAAGTTAAAGTAAGTTAAGGATGAAATTGGAGCATATTAAAGTAAGAGGGGTTATTTTAGTCCTTTACATAAATCTGGACCATGTGTGGACTTATTGGTAAAGGAGAATATTGTCTGGATCTCTTTATGAATAAGTTCCCACTGATGGGCTTATTTGTAATATGCCCGAAAAAATAATGATTTATCACATTTATATGGCACGCGAAACATGATTATTTCACGCATGAATTTTATCTCGTAACCTAATTGTCTCTTTATTCACAGAAGTTAAATTAATCAGTCCAACTTTCGAATTGATTCGGTTATAATGTTTGCCAACATATGACTCATCTATTGAGTAAAAACATATAGCCAATATTGGAATCTCAAGGATTTTATTCCATTTGTTATCATATTCATCAACAACAACTAAATCATTTTTACACCACCAATCATAAACATATAATTCTATTAACCAAAGTTATTCACAATTAAGCCTTTGCTAAATCATATATATCTATAATCAGGCTTATAATAATACTTGCATATTTAAGATTGCAAATAATATATAATTTTTTCACATTATCAAAACTAAAATTTATAATCATAGAAATATAAAAATGGTATCTAACAATTTCACTAACGGAAGCCCTTAAATCAACAATGGTATCAAACAATTTCATGTTGAGTTATGCGAAAGCTACACTAGAAGTTCTAACCATGTTAAGAAAAGTAAGGCACGAGATTGATGGTAATGTGAATTTCAACAAGAAATAAACGGCAATTAAATTATATTTTATTAAACTTTCATAGATCAATAAAATATGTATTGTACCGTGTAATTAAAGAATTATTTTTATGAACTATTAATTTATATATTATATGGGACTTCTTAAAATTTTCGAATGTGTATTATCTTATAAATGTAGTGAATTATTAATTTAACACGTTGTCCCCGAGTCGGGACCGGGAAAAGATATTATTTAACCAAGGTTATTAATTTATCGAGGTTCTACTGTATCAATTATAATATGTTCATGTGTACAGGTAGACACTAAAACACCCACTATCACTCCATATTAAAATTATTCTGAACTACAAATAAAATGTCCGAGCACATCCATACATCTACCCAATAATCATGAATTAAAATCAAGATTAAATTTATCAATTATGATCATGCTCACAAATACCTCAACTATTTCTCATTTTTTTTTTTCTTGAAAAAGTAGTTTATATAGTCAACGACAAATTTATTCTCAAAATTTGCGAGTATGGAGGTGTTTTATGTCGTTCCTACTTCGTAAACTAGTAGTAGGTTATAATCAATTTTCAATCAAGTGAAACCTCAAAATAATTTTAACTATCATCACATAATGGTTTTCATTAAGTAACAAATAAACATCTTTAACTATAACAGATTTCCACAATTAAATAATATGTCAGATGTTATCACCCAAAATTTAAGGAACTCAAATTAAAATTTCTAAAAATGTAGAGCATGATGAGATTTTGAAACTTACTAATTGACATATAAATTATAATAATATAAAATTTGCCAAATGACAATTGAAAAAGGCACATTGAAATTACCACCGAATAGCAATTAATGATACATATTTTAACAATCCAATTAAATAATAAATGCCAACTAATGCTCCAATTTCTTAATCAAATGGGAACATTTCAAACTACAGTTTCAATTTTAATGTAATTATTCGCACCAAATTAACAGGAAGCTCAAAACCTTCCAAAGTATCAGAGCAAGGTAAATGAGCAAGCTTATGGGCTAAATGATTGCCCTCCCATTTAACAAAAGAGAACTTACAACTAGAAAAGTTTTGAGAAAGAAAAAGGCATTCTTCAATAATGGCTCCGTAATGGAGAGTCTCTCCACTTCCTGCACAAAGAGCTTTGATCACAGGGAGGCAATCTCCTTCCAAGCTAATGTCAGCCCATCTGTTTGCTTTGGCTAGCAAGACAGCCTGGAGAGCCGCCAAAGCTTCGCCTTCAACTGGTTGTAGTTTGCCGTTGCACCTCTTCACTTTCCAAGCGAGGCATCTCCCTTCATGATTTCTTGCAACACAAGCTACCGAGAAAGCAGATGTTCCCTGCCGAACAGCAACATCAAAATTAATTTTAATCCCTCCAAATTCCGGTGGTTGCCATTCCGTTGGGTGAGTTTGGCCTAGGTTGGGGTTCGGTCGGAGTTGGGCGCTTCTAAAGTTCGCCAAATAGCTCTTGCACCAGCTGACCAAGTCTTCCGTTTTCATCGCCTCTTCGTTCTTCATCTCTTTATTCCGGCAATCCCACACTTTTCAGGCGATGATCGACGCCAAAAGAAGACTCTCTTCGTCCCACATCTCTTTCCAGTGCAGCAGCAATTCCCATGGAGATGTGAAGCTCGATCGATGTCCGTCGCCAAAAGGTGGAGTCTTCCAGACCGTGTCCATGCCCTTACAGGTTGTCACGACGTGCATGATCGTTTCTTCCTCTGCATTACATCGCGAGCATAATGGCGACCTAATCACCTTTCGACGAAAGAGTTCCGAATTCGTAGGGAGATTGTTACCACAAAAACGCCATAGAAACAGCTTTACATTTGGTGGCAGCGGCAACTTCCAAACAAGATTCCAATTACGATTAGCACCTCCGCTTCCCGATCCATGATCGACCCCGCTGCGATTATTCGAAAACAGTGGCGAATTGAGAATCATGTGATAGCCAGACTTTACCGTATATCTTCCTTGGTTCGAGTAGTGCCAACACCAAATGTCGGTCGTGTGGGGACCCCCCACCGCAACCCCGAGGACCCTCACCACGTCCACCGGCCAAAAGGTGTAGTGAACAAGATCAAGATTCCATGAGTTTGATCCAGGTTCAAGTAGATCCGAGACTCGATCCGGGAAGGGCGAGGAGATAGACCGCCTTGTGAGAACCTTAAAATTTCCATCATCACACAGCCATGGGTCGGCCCAAATGGAAGTGTGATGGCCATTGCCAATACGTCGTCTGATGCCCATCTTTAAATATGGGATTGCTTTTTGAATACACCTCCAAGTCGTCGATGGATTGGAGCCAATCCCAGCCAAAAGAAGGTTTCCGTTTGGAAAGTATCGAGCCGACATGATACGAGACATGAGTAAGTCCGGATGAGCAAGGATACGCCACGCTTGTTTGACAAGCAAAGCCATGTTAAAAGCTCGCAGATCCCGAAATCCAAGTCCACCTTGTGCCTTTCCTTTACATAAATCCTTCCATGCTACCCATGCCATTCCTCTTGTCGACCCATTGCCCCACCAGAATCGCCGGATTGCCTGCTCAATTTCCAGAATAAGGCCAGTCGGAATCAAGAAACAGCTCATGATATATGCAGGAATAGCTTGGAGGACAGACTTGATGAGGACTTCCTTGCCGGCTCTGGACAGGTGTTTCTCACCCCACCCCTTAATTTTTCCCCAGACTCGATCGCGGAGGTAAGAAAAAATTTCTTTTTTTGTCCGCCCAATAGAAGCCGGCATGCCCAGGTATTTATCGTGCCTCTCCACAACACGAAAACCAAGAATACGGTGGATGGAGTCGATTGTCTCCGAGGGAGTTCCACGGCTGAAACACATGGTGGATTTGTCGTTATTGATCTCTTGCCCCGAGATCCTCGCATATTTCGAAAGAATTTCCTTTAAAACTGAAGCATGTTCCACCGTGGCTTTTCCAAAGATGAGGGTGCCATCCGCAAAGCATAAACTTGAAATCATGGGGGCGGTCGGCGCAACACGGACACCTTGAAAGTCACCACGATCCGTAGCCCGAGAAATCATAGCAATTAGCGCTTCCGTACAACATATAAACAGATATGGGGACAGGGGGTCTCCTTGCCGGAGTCCACGTGACGGGTGTACAGAGCCAAACTGCGAACCATTAAAAAGAAATGAAAAGGAGACCGATGAGACACAAAGCATGATAAGGTCCACAAAACCAGTTGGTAAGCCAAAACGTAATAAAATCCTTTTCAGAAAACACCATTCAATACGATCGTATGCCTTACTAATGTCTAACTTAAGAGCCATATAATTGGTTCTCTTACTAGAGCTGAGTTTTATAAAGTGATTTATCTCATAAGCCACAAGGATGTTGTCCGAGATGAGGCGTTTGGGAACAAAGGCAGATTGGGTAGGAGATATAAGGTCATTCAGGACAAGTTTTAATTGGTTTGCCACCACTTTGGCCCCAAATTTGTAAATAACATTGCATAGGTTAATCGGTCTATAATCCGTGATTTTTTCAGGTTTTTTAACTTTTGGAATAAGGACAATAAATGTGTAATTTAAAGCGGGGGGGGGGGGGGGGGGGGGGGGGGGGAGATTACGGTGATTGAGAAAATCCAGAACACAAGTTAACACATCTGAGCCCAAGATATGCCAATATTTTGTGTAAAAGATGACAGGTAATCCATCGGGGCCAGGGGATTTTAGGGGAGCCATTTGGGAAATGGCTCGGGTTACCTCATCTGCAGTGAAGGGCGTAGACAAGAGTTGAGCAGCCCCTCCCGAGATCCGATTTTGCACGTTATCCAACACTTCATCTATCTCTTGCTCACACGGGTCGGTCGACGAGAAAAGCCTCTCAAAGTATTCTGAAATAATCCTTTCGATGTCCCTTTGTGAATTCCTCCAAATACCCCCGTCATCTTTCAGTTTGTCAACTCTATTCATGCGGTTCCGGATGGTCGCCTTTGTATGAAAAAATTTCGTGTTTCGGTCCCCCTCCTGAATCCACTGAATTCTGCTTCGTTGCCTCCAATACATGTCATTTTCCTCGTAAGCCTTTTCCATTTCCAATTTCAGATGATTGATCTCCCTCTTTGTGTCAAAATTTTGCAAAGTGCCCATAAGAAAGTGGAGGCGTTTACGCAATTTTTCGATTCGCCGCCGAGGCTCCAAGACAGAAGTTTTTTTTTCCAGTGGATGAGAGCTAGTCGGCACCCCTCATTTTTCTGGACGACAGCTTCAACCGGATCAGCCATCACAATGTCTGAGTATTGATGATGAACAATGCTTTCACACTCGTCTCGTCTGAGCCAAACAGCCTCAAACCGAAAAGGTCGTTTCTTTCGATGGTCATAGCGTGACTCAGGTGGATCAAGGAGTAACTGAATTGGGGAGTGGTCCGATCCGGGATACTCCAAGTTCTTGACCTTCGCTCTTGGGTACCTCATGGTCCATTCATTGTTAGCACACACTCGGTCAAGCCGTTCTCTCACCGTGCGAGGGAAGGCCTGGTTGTTTGACCATGTAAATTGGGCTCCCTCAAATCCCAAATCGGATAGATTGCACACATCAAGGGTTTCTCGGAAAGCTTCAATGTGCGCTGGAAGTTTCGGAAGACCCCCTTCTTTTTCACTATTGCACAAGATTTCGTTAAAATCACCGCCGACCACCCACGACATGCTTCTCTGGTCACGGAGATTACGCAGGAGAGACCATGATGCATGTCTTCTAGCTCTGTCGGGGAAGCCATAAAAACCGGTCACTCGCCATTTGCTATTGTGGTTTATATCGAGAACCTCTGCGTCAATATGGTTGTTCGAGTAACTAATGAGATCGACCTCAACATCCTTTCTCCAAAACAAAATCAAACCGCCTGAATTTCCAATCTTATCTACTCCAAAACCATTAAGATCCCATCGTCTTCTGAGCTTTTCCATCAAAGGTAGTGTTGCCTTCGTCTCCGAAAGAAACACCAATGTGGGACGGCAATCCCGGAGAATATCTCCGAGAACATGAATTGTCAAGGGTGTCCCGATCCCTTGACAATTCCAAAAAATGCAATTCATTGGCCTCGGCGGGACTGCGCCGCA